CCCTAAACCCTAAACTTTAAATCCCGCTCCAGAACCCCAAGCCTGGGAACCCTGAACCTGCCTAAACCTTACACCTATTGTAGATACACAACTATAGCCCTAGGGATCCAACTCCCCAAATGTAGCTAACATTTACAGACTCTAGGGCCCAACGTAGGGTTTATTTGAATAAATGAATCCCTAGGGTAGTATACTGGAGTTATGCTTCACTATCAACAGTCTGCGCGGAGCTCCCAGGAGCGACGGTGTCGGCAACTGGGTGACGTCGACGAAGAGGAGGAACCGTTGATAGAGGCCAGGGCCGCTTTGTGCGTTAAGGTTTAGGGTTTAGGGTTTACGTAGGGTTTGCTGTTTTCAGGGTTTATAGTCCCACCCTTAAGTAGACAGAATATGGCTTTGGGTATATTATAATAAGATCCCATATACGCCTTATTCTAGCTACTTACAGTAAGGGGGACTATACAGTTTAGGGTTTAGAGTTTAGGGCTTAAGGTTTGAAGTTAGGGCTAGGGTCCCCTTGAAGGTGCCTTGGTGGGGCTTATAGGCAACTATTCGGTTTCGGGTCTAGAGTCCACGTGTGGGACCCGGGGTATTCCTAAAGGGTTAAGGAGCCTACTGAAATACGGTTACCATGGGGTTGTTGCAGTGGCTTCTGAAGGGGATCTAGTATATTGTGGAACTTATTGGTTCCTCTAACTAGAATCTGGTACAGGAAGCTGACTTGTCGAAGTGCCGACATCACAAAAGGCGATGATGCAAGTTGAGGCCAATGCCCAATAGCCTTTCTTCCAATAGTTGTACTAATAAGACCCTAAACCCTAAACCCTAATAATAAGACTCATACTCAGGTACCTGGCAGGGTTTGCGCTGGGTCTTCGTCTGGGTAGCTTCTTTGTACAATGTGTCCCCAGATCGCCAAGCTAGTCTTGTTTTGGGGTTCAGCAAGGCCTACACCCTAGCTGTCCTAACCTGTACGAAGCCCTAAGCCAAATCCCCAAACCGTAAACCCCAAACCCTAATCCTTAAACCCTAGGCCATAGACCCTGATCCCTAGTCCTTGCATTGTTGGCACCTTGAGCCTTGAGCTCCAGATCTGGAAAAACTCTTAGGTGGGATTGGCAAGATGGGGCCTAACGTCCCGGGCTGCGTGTCTAGGGATGATCTATAGGGGCTTAGGGTTGGGGATATTAATTTTACCCCTTTTTACCCCCCAATAATGGAGAATTAAATGGAAGAACATGAATGAAACGGAAACTAGGTTGGTTGTATTTGTGATCTAGGGGACTCTGGTATAGGACAGGCATCCATTTTGTTCACCGGTAGTCAGTGGACGCTCCAAAATCCGATTTCTAGCTTCTTTCGATGTCTCGTGCCACAGGAAGATAGCTCCTTCCTTCTCGGTCTGCGCGAAGTGGTGTTTCTGGAGTGGTGGCCAATTCAAATGCTCATTGACGCCTGGCTGCAAAACTATCGGAGTAACTGAAAGTAAGGCATCTAGTTGTACATCCCTAAGTATGTCGTGTTGTTGGATCACCTGGATTGAAGGCCCTGGAACTTCAGAGATAAAACTCATCAAGGGTTTCAAGCTGCTCGGCCACTGCGCTCAACCAAAATGAATTGCAAAAGGGATTGAGGCTTAGAGCGTGAGGTGGGCTGTTCAGATGCATGTCGTGTGGTTGGATCCTCGCGTTTAAGAACTTCTTCCCTTTATGATGCTAAAATGTGCCGCTGAACATTCAATATTTGGGGGTGGGGTGGGGGATGTGGAACGGACACAGGTGCTGTGTTGGGAGAGGGCCTTTATCTTTGATGTGGTAGAGGCCTTAAGTTACAGAATGCAACTTTCCGCCGGGGGGGGGGTTATGAGGGAATAAGGGAGCAAATAAATGAACAAGTGTGTGCATATGTATATGTATAGATCTACATAGAAATGGTTTAGGGTTGAGGGTGTACGGTAGCAGGGGAGATACAGGAATATCTTTTCTCCGGAATTTATAGGAATTACATTCCCATATTCCCTACAAACCACCAGTAAGCTGATCATTTTCAATGTTATGGTCCGAGATTCCCTGTAGAATCTTGATATAGGTAGCTCAAACACACCTCAAATTTCATTGTAATCTTGAAGGCCCTCACATTACATACCTGCAAAACAATCTGGCACCTTTCAAGGCGCTCCATTTTCCATTCATATGCGATTTTCTGAAAGCAGCGTGCTCCGCAACAATTACCTGACAGTGGACCCCAAAAATCATCGTACACTCCCCGACTCCCCACAGGGTACCCGCTGTTTGTGAGAAACCCCAAGTCCCACACCCTTTTCTGACTGGCGGCCTTCAGCTGTAGCGTCATGGACTTTTCCATGTGTGCTTTGAGTAACAACTTTTGCATAGGAACTGCGAACCCTAACCTCTAAACCCCTAAACCTTGAACCCTACTCCCTAATACCCCAAACCCCTACACCTCCCCACCCTGAACCCTAAATCCACAACCCAACGCCTAGGACTTCCCCTTGGTGGATGAGTATAGCCACTTCTTCAATGCACCTGGGCTTCGTCCACGACCATCTGAGCCATAGTCTTAACTCCCTCAAGGTGCTATAGAGGGGAGTATTACAAAGGGCGTCGTTAAGGGGGATAGTAGAAGTTTGGACTACAGCTCACTTATTTGGACTACAGCTCATTTACGGTGCACAGGTAAGGGTTTAGGGACTAGGGTTTGCGGGTTGGGGATCAGGGTCTGGGGAATAGTCCTTACGTTTTAAGGATTACGGTTTACGGTTTAGGGATTAGGATTTAGGGTTTAGGGATGAAGATTTAGGATCACGATGGTAGCCCCTATAAGAATCCCCAAGAGTGTGACAAATTGTGATTTCTTTCCATTCCCCCCATGACTTACTGGCTTGCTGTTAAGGAACTGAATCTAAGTTATTGTATTTGGGAAACCATTTTAATGACTATATGCCCGGTATGGTAACTTAAGTTCCTTCAAAGCAACCCAGCTTGGATGAAGGGCTTCAGGTTTCAGATTCAATCTCTTTGGGGCTATCAGAGGCTCGAACGGTGGCATGAGCAGATGGGCTCACGGATCCCTACTGTAGACTGTAGAGACCCCATTATGATTGGGCGTATTTTCTTTTCCTCACCTTCCGTTACCTCACCTTTTTAAGCCCTTTGAGTTAGGGTTTATGCTTTAGGATGGTGACCTGGTGCCGAGGTTTTCCGCAGTTGGGATTCCCAATGTACCAGGTCCCTCGGCCCCAAAACTCTAATATCATAATCATAACTGTCTTGACTGTGATTTTAAGAGCCATCCCTGCAGTAACTACGTCATAGTTGCTACTTTGAGGTCATCACCGGTACATATTGGCAGCCACTGATCCATGAGCAGTAAAGGATCTGATAAGGACCCCATAAGAGGCACATGGTGGTCATGGGGGTCCTCGTTTTGCAGGGCCGGGGTAACTCAAATCCCCTAAGCCCTAAACCCTAAACCCTAAATATTAATGATCACAAGATCTTTAAGCAGGGTGGTTCAAGAGGTGGGAGGTGCCTAGTAACCAGCAATACCTTCCTTAGGAGGACCACCCGCCCTGTAATAGTGGCATAATCGGAATATAATAGGACCCCATTACAATCCTTATTATCCCTTATAGTCACGATTACTGGGTGCCTGAGGTAACCCTAAACCGTGAACAGTAGCTTCCATTTTCTTTTCCACTATCCCTATATAGCCCTATATAACCCAAGATTCCCTTATCCTCCCTAGCAGGCTACCAAAGGCTCCCCACAGCCGACCCCCTGGCAACCCCGTCCTTTTCGCATCCGGTGACATGAGCTGTTCTCTAAACTCCTTAAAGGGGGGTGAAATAGGGGATTATAGAGGAGACCATTAGAGGGGTTATTAAGGGGGATACTAGGAGTTCAGACTATAGCTCACATGAGCTACTGTCAAGGTAAGCCTAGAGTGGACATAGGGGTCCCTCTAGTTTAGTGTAAGCCCGAATAGTGTCCCTTACTGAACCCATGTTCATTCATCTGCTGGGTAGTATTGACTGTGGTTCACATTACATGGGTAGTATTTTATTTGGGGATATTATGGTACCCAATATAGAGTAAGATTATATCCTCCTTTTGGGTATAGTATTTTATATAAGGAATGTTATCTTACTAGGTTTAGCCACCAAAAACACGCTACTTACATGAGGTCTTCATGATAGCGCATCTCTTCGCAACGAATGCCATCCTAGGCCGCTTGGATTCCATTCTATCGGGTTGCTTCAAGGAGCTTGAACTAAGTTAGTATAATTCGGAAACCCTATTGTTGGCTATGCATCAATATTCTCATGACCCAGCGTATTAGCCCTTATCTAGGGTTGCGGCGCGTGGCTGGGAGGAGATGGGAAGTTTCTCAACATACTTCCCATTGCAAGCCTCGGTGAGGGCTTTCTATGTATCCCTGGGGTGCTTAGAAAACTACGTTTTGAGAAGCGACTAGATGATCTTTCGCAGGATTCTTCTTCATGCACTGCTTGACACGCCGCCCACGATACCGTAGTTGTAGGGTTTGGGGTGCAGGGTTTAGGGTCTGGGGTTTGCTGTATTGGTTTCTCCAGATGATGGGTTCTTCGGCTTCTACAGCTGAGATTCAGGGCCTTGCCTTGTGCACAAAATTGGGAACACTCAGTTTGACCTGCTGAAATCGGGGCCCAGGCTTTCTACGTAAAGTTACTGAACTCCTTGGGACTTCGCTTGGACCTTAGACCCTCAACCCTTTGGGATTCCCTTATCCTCCTATTAAGGGTACCTAAAGGGTTAACCCTTAGTAGGGGTCCTAGTTGCCACGTAGTGAAGCAACGGCAGACAGCGGGGCAGCAAGTGTGGCGCTCAGGCTTCAGCACCTTCGTTATCCTTCGGCGCGTGCGGATCATGGTCCAGGAGAGCAGAGTTTGTGGTATGACCACAGTTTCCATTTCATCTTCCGTGTTCTTCTCCATCTGATTCTGCAATATTCGGTAATAACCATATCCATATAAGCGCATACTCTAACGAGGCATCAAGATGGTGTTTGCTGGCTTCACTGAAGGTGAGTAATTCTGTATGCATCCCTGCATGATATCAAAGCTAGCACTTATAGGAGAAGCGAATTCAGGGTTTATGGTTTAAGGTGGAGGGACCCTACACCCTGAACCCTAATTAATGTAGAGGGTTTAAGGTTGAGGGTTTAGGGTTTGAGGTTTAAGGATCCATCGTGTCCGGTGGCCAGAGCAATTGAGCCCGTAGCGCTCTGAGCCTTAGACGGTCGACCCTGGGTTATAGAAAGGTTTAGGATGTAGGGTTAATAGGGTTTAGGGTTTGGGGCTTGGGGTTTAGGGCTTGGGGTTCGGGGCTTAATCCGAGCACTTGATTTGTAAAAGGGTCCATATTTAAAGAAAATCAATTTGGAAGAATCAGGCTCCAAAGACTAGCTACAATTAGGTGGCTTTTCGTATTGGGGAAAGGGGACCACATTCAAAGAAATTTTCTGGGGAACCAATCCTGATAGTAGAGATATTCAGCACATTCGTATTTGTTTTTTAAGTAACAGAGGTCCAAGAGCCCCAATGGCGCAGGAACCCTAAACCCTAAACCCTGAACCCTAAACCATTCTTTATTAATTGAGGTCCAGGACCTCCAATCGTTCTTTTTATCTGGCGCTCTCCATGCCTTACTCTGGGGGGGGGAGAGGTCCTCCCCAAATTAATCAGTCCTAGGATTAGGACCTAGGTCCACACCCTGAAAGCAGAAAATCGTAAACCTGATGAACCCAAACCCGTGCTCTTCAGGAGGACATGGCAGCAGAGGATGGGCGTTTCGCAGTCACTTTTTCCAAGGTCTACCCCCTGGCACCTGGGTTCTTTGTCGGTAGCGTTTTCTACTGGGGCTTAGTAAAGAAAAAAGGGAACATAATATGTGGGGATCATACAGGGATTATATTCACTTATTCTTTTACTTGCCACCAGATAGATTTTCTTAGCTACTGCCTGTAGGCTGGTTTCTCCAAACCGCTGGAGGATAACATGAGCTACTGGCAGTATTAGGCTTACGCAGGGATTATTAATGAGGGCGGACGTACGGGTCCCTGGTCATCTAGTATAGTCCTTATTATGTTCCCGAACAAGAACCCACACATGTCCACTAGGTGAATATGAAGTTTTGACTGCAGCTCATATGTCGTTGGGGTGACGGGGGACGACGGCCTTTCTTTCAAATCATTTTTCAGGGATGCCTTGGTGTCTGAATAGGTCAGGAGACTACAAGAGAATAGAACCAGTCCATGCGCACCTGCTGCTAGAACCGAGAACTCACTGGTGAGCGGCCAAACATGGTGCTCATGTGGGGGTTCTGAGGTCCATGTAAAGAAGGGGCCATTGGCAAAACACTTCTATACCCTAAACCCCAAACCCCAATTGGAGGTCCCAGCAAAAAGGAACCTACCCCCAGGTCATATTGGGGACCGGAATTTTCAACAACTACCAATGCGGCCTTGGGATCCCTTTACAAGGGATGCAGTGGTTCTGTAGGCATTTTTGGGGCTCGTATAACGATATAGGAGTTCAAGGGGGATTTTGAACAACCAGATGCATAGTCCCATTTTAAGTAGACAGAATCTGGCTTGGGATATATGATAAAAAGATCCCCATATTCCCCATACTCTATCTACTCAAGGGGGACTCCAAAGCACTGAGGTATGGTACTTGCTCCTTGGCTCCATCCTCGCCATGGTCCTCTTCCGCACGATGAAGCCTTGAAATTGTTGAGCAGCATGTTTAATCTTCATAACAACCCAAATACCCCATATAGACTGACGGACATAGGGTTTAGGGTTTAGGCTCTAGGGTTTAGGTTTTAGGGCTACCCCATATAGACTGACGCCTCAGCAAATGCAGTGGGTTACTTCTACTGTTGGGGGTCAGAATGTAAAGCCCACTCGTAGCCAGCAGCATGACCTATTTTTCCCCTACAAAAACACTAAACACTGGACCCCAATCCCTAAAGCCCGACCTGTAACCCCTAAACCCTTAATACCCTAAACCCTAAATACCCTAAGCCCAGGAAGCTGATGGTACAGGTCTGTAAAAGGGTGGCGGGAAGCACCAAGCCCCGGCCATCACAGCCGGCGATGTCTCCAGAAAGCACAGACGTGCCGTAATGTAGGGGCCTACATCACTACCAGAATGCCAAGATGGTAGTCCCAGAGTCCTTGTATAATCATAGTGAAGGGTACCTCAAGTAGATTTCAAGATGATGTTGATTGCTATTCAGTCCCCTACAGCGGCCCTCCAGTGCAGGAAGGCTCTTGTGTGAGTTTCTGAGAGCGATCCCTATAGAATCCTAAACCACTAGAAGAGCCCCTCTTTGAGACACCTGTACTTATAATTATATGTGTGGGTACGGGGGTGTTTCGATTAGCGATGAAACTCCAAGCACGTTTGTCCACTCGCGACCCCAACGCAGAAAAGATGGCGCCATGAAAGTCTTGCTCCCTGGGCTCTGAAGCAAAATGCTGCAACAAGAGTGATGGTAACAACAATAATAGCAGTAGTGATTCTATGTAATTCGAATGGCCATCGTTACTGTATTCTATTATGGCAGTCGTACTTTGCTGGCAAGTGCTTGGGACCCTATTTGCGTATGGTTGTTTTCATGCATATGGAGACCGGAGACCCCAACATAAACCCCCAAAATACGATAGTCCTTATTCTTGGGACCTTTACGATGGTATCCCTAATTTTGGGAAAGCCCTAAGCCCTAAACCCTAAACCCTGTATAACCCTCATATAGCATTAAAATGGTACCACTAATTTTGGAAGCCTTCCCTATTGTTGAAACTCAGAAGCTCGCATGACCTTGGTATACGGTATACTAAAATACTGTAAGGTGTTTAGGGGCATTTGACCTGTGGGGTTATATTAGGAATTCTATAACCCCCTTCATTCAGGCTTTAGGGCCTAAACTCCTTAAAGGGGGATACAGGGATTGTATAGGGGATTACGATAGGGGTTACTAACGGGGATACTAGGAGTTCAGACTACAGTTGCTTTAAGAACTTGAGTCTTAGCCGTAGTACTCCCAAATTTTCATATTAGCCTCGCAAGGCCTAGATTTTTTGGAGACCACCCAGCTGAGAACTACCCACCATGCATTAGAGTTCTGAAGGGTTTATTGTGTTGGGTTTGGGGCTTGTAGGGCTTGTGGTAATGGACCCTGTTTGCCCCCCAACACACAAGCAACCCTATAGAATAGGAAGAATTCCACAATAAGAGCGGGTTGTCCAGAAGGGCTTGCTTCCCATCATTTTCCTGACCCGGAAAGGGGCCTCCTGAGAGAAGTCACTTTATATCCCATCTTGGGATGCGTAGTCCTCAGCCCTAACCTGAGCCCGCGTGGAAGATAATCCGCAACTCCAGGCGGCAGAAGCGCTCCACACACATGAAGATCTCGTAGAAATGTCAGGCGGTTTTGTGACCCAAGTGAAAACTTAAATCGCGCGTGCCTTGCAAAACCTTTCAAGTTTTTCCAAGCAGCATCAATTAACTAGCGTGGCTCACTCCTAGTCCTGGAAGCTTCTGACACCTTGCTTCGGTTGGGTTTGAGATACTATGAAAGTTGTAGCCCAACATAATCCATTTGAAGCCCTACAGATTCGGAACAGACCTTGACAACTCCCGAGAACATGGTGCCAGTAGGAGGAAAACAGACCAAAAAGGTGCCGAAGTTCTTCCGCTTCGCGACGGGGCAGTGATACGCCTGGGCCTTTCCTGGGATTTGACGCGGCGGGTTCATGCGGGTGGTTGTCAAAATCATGGTCCCTTTTTGGGTATCCTAAGTATTAGATGCCGTATTATAATAGGGATCCAAAAAGGGACCATGTAGGTAGTAATATCGATGATTTAGGTTCCCACATAACCAACCTGGGGCCGAAGTATATACTATCTATAGTCTAAACTCTTTCAAGTGGGTTAGATAGGGAATCATATAGGGGACTACAAAAGGGATTATTAAGGGGGATAGTAGAGTTTAGATTATGGCGGCAGGATTTAGCATTCTCTCTTTCTCGCAGGGAGGTGTAGTGTCGAGTGGCTGCCGTAGTCAGATCTTGCAAGGCAGAGGATCCTGGGAAAGGGCCCACCGACAAAAAGTTCGGCTCAGGGTTAGGTAGCGCCTTTTTAACCTTTGAAAAACATAGCCCCAAACCTTAAAACCTAACCCCCTCACCCACTAAATATCCTAAATCGTGCGTGTGTGACTACGCCTTCATGGAATCGTGGGAGGCTTGGCGTCAGAAGTTAGCGTCTTCAAGCATCATGTGGAGGTCTCCATAGATGGGGGATCCCAAACTTCATTGGGACAATGAGAATAAGAACAAGGGATCATTGATTTATGGAACCACCCCCCACATACCGTAAACCCTAAACCCGATAGTGTAGGCAGGAATCCTGAAACCCTATTCAAGCCCCGCACCTCTCAATGAGAGCTCCACAGCTCAATCCTCGGCCAAATGTCGTGGTATGTTTCATTTCAGCTCTTCATACTAATGTTAAACTGTGAACCACGCCTGGGCCTTGATATTCCCTCTGGGGAACTTATGTATTGGAGGACATATTTAACTTTGGAGGGAGTGTTGTTGGAAGTTTTGCTGCCGTTGCCTTTTAACTTTAGCGGTCACAGCAAAGTCGTTGTTATGGTTGGGATGGCAGGCGACTGTATGGTGGTTTCGGCATCTTCTACATTCTTGATGTCGCCCTCTAGCAGATAGAATCACGCACTCCTAGACCCTAAACCCCAGTAACCCTAAACCCCAGTAACTCTAAACCGTACACCCCAGTAACCATGAACTCTAGCAACCCCAAACCCTAAACTGCGTATCCTCATATTCCATCCGCTTACAGAGCCCTGCATTACGTGAGTTCTGTCCCCCAACTCCTTGGCCCTAAAGCCTAAGCCGCAACACCCTGCCCTAAATCCCTAGTATACCGTAAGCTGAAAGAAATCCCAAACCCTAACATCCTAAAACCCTAGCCCCTGCCTGACGTACTCTCAAATTAAACAGCCAACCATGGGGCTCAGGCGCACCATGTCCTGCGAGCGCCTCCCACGGCGCGCAGGGCGCTCAGGAATGTGTGCAGCGCTAAGCCTCTAAACCCCCAAACCCTAAACCCGAAGCCTCTGAGCCCACAAAGCCTAGCCCCCTAAGGAGCCACTACACAACAGCAGCCTCAGAACCACTTTAACTAGTCAGAGTCAATTCATGTCATTTTGTTATCAAGTTGCCTACTCCCGGACCTCAACCCCATCCAAGCACCCAAGAAGGCCAAATCCATCGCTTGCCATGAGCATTCTTCTTGTGCAAGTAACGCTTCTCTGGACAGCAATACCCCAAAAAGGCGGAAGATTGGGTTCTCACGAAGCATGTTTCAAAGGTGATTTCTGGGACCAAGGGGCCGCATTGTTGACTTCCGTTTTTGTTTAGCCACTGTAGGCAAACCAACGTGCTTCGTAGCTCTAATTTTCTAATCTATTAGTAATGGATATCAGTTTCCCCTCGTAACTTTCAATGTCATCATCCCTAAACCCTAAACCCTAAACCCTAGTTATAGGGAGTTTCGTAAATTCCGAGGGTGCCCTGAGTTACCTTATGCTAGGATCTTCGTCTCAATGGCTCTAGGGACCCCAGAAAGGCACCATCAATTTGACACACTCCCATGGCTCGCATGTGAGCGTGATATGTTGGGGTCATATAGGGAAGAAGGAAACAGAAAACGGAAACGACTATATTATGATAGGGTATATATTGGGAATATATAGGGAATTACTGACAAGACAAGGGGATATGTGAGGATTGTCCTAAAGTACTGTTAATACGGGGTCCTATATTTAGGTTCCTATTATAGTACGGGGCCCTATATAGTTTTCCCCCATTTTGGGAACAGTAATTTAGGGAAACTTCCATGTAGAGGTTATAGTACTGCTTTTGCTACCAAATGCTGCTTCCGAGGAGCAGCAGGCCATCGAGCGGCACCTGAAGCGCTCAAAGTCGCTCCACGCCAGGGCCACAGTGATGCGAGCCCATTGTAGTTTCAGGGTTTTGGGTTTAGGGTTTAATTAGGGTTTAGGGTTTAGGGTTTAGGGTTTAGGGTTGGGGCTTAGGGTTTAGGGTTTGGGGTTTCAGAGTTTCAGGGTTTAGGGCTTATAGGGCTTTGGGCTTAGGGTTGGCCATCCCTACGGCCCGTGTATCATCCCTTCTGGAGGTCCATTACAATCCCGACAATCCCAGTTTTCATCAGTTAAAGTCCCTAGAATCCCTACCAGGATCCCCCAACTTTTTGAGGACATCCCCCCAATTCAGCCCCTAAACCCTAGACTCTAAACCACAAACCCTGGAGTGGAGCTTGTGGTGTCTCAGCCAGGCATCCGAAGCTGTTGACCGCAAGGCAACGGTGGGGTTAGGGCCAGGCACAGCCTAGGGTTTAGGGCTTTAGGGCTCGTGGGTCATTCAGGAAGCAGCAAAAGGTTCTACTGTATCATACCAAGCCTGATAGGAGCACGAAGCTTCTGGATCTTAATGTCATCTCAAAAAGGAAGCACCGAAAGAACATTTTTTGTGTGTACGAATGCTTCAACCTAACCTGCCATGCCAATGATCATGAAGCCTTGAAGCAGTACGGTAGTTTCCCTAAATAGGGGGACCTCAATATAGACCTCAAAATACTAGAGTCCATATCATGGGGACCCCCAAAATGGGACCCCTAATTTTAGGAAACCCCTGTACCTCAACAAGTGCTTTTGAATGGTGAATACTTTGGCCAGCACTCCTGTTCGATGTCAGGGCGGGGCCTTAGACTTTGGCATGGGTGAATAGGCGATGTCTTGCAGGCCTATAAAGGCTTTGAGGCCCTCTTGCTCAAAACTCCTTGAAAGTATGTCTGCTTCTCTTCAAGTGAGGCAGTGATCTGGCTCCAAGATTATCTGGGTCGGTGTTGAAATATGTAAGAATCATACGATAATCATATATGGCCCTCTATCTGACCTCTACTATAGATTGTTACAGGGTGTGGGCGGTACCCAAAGTCTTGGGGCACGCTGCCAGAAAGAAGCACCGGAGTTTAACTTCGTTGCTAGAGGGAACCCCAGACCTTGGACAAACGCAAG